CCAGTCGATGAGTAAGCCCGCCCGGCCGTGTGTAGATGAGATCTGTTCTAGAGACGCGCATAAACTGAGCGGGAGCCCTCGGCGTTAGCCGGCCCATTCACTTTTCTTTCTGTCCCCGTCTTGACATGAAGAAGATCAGTTGTTAAACTGTTGCCTAATCAAGTCGGGCACGGCACAACAGCAGACTTCTTTCAGAGAAAGAGTTTCCTGTTGGAAATCATCTTTTCTTCTAGTAACAGGCATTTGAGGAGCTGGAAGGCAGCAGAAAATGGTTCAGGAATGATGTGGGATGTCAGAAAGCTTAAGGTCAACCAGCGTGCACAGAGGTTGTGAACTGTAATTGCTCTTAATGCTGTTTAAGATTAACCTCAACGGTTATTGGGGTTTGTTGCATCAGCACCAGAGGAAAAGGAATTCCTATGAAGAAATAAAACCTAGAGGCACAGTCAGCCATCTGCAGTTAAGCAAAAAAGACTGAAAGTAGTCACTTTTAATATTAATATTAATTACCCTTAAATAATAGAAATGTACAGCTAGGAAGCATGTCCTGAAATTAAAATATTGGCAGACGAGATGTAAAAGTTCACTGTTGATGGAAAGAATCATCAGCAAAAGAACAGAAAGTAGGAGGAGAACAAATTAATAAAGTTGTTTGAACCTGTGTGAATCAGGAGGATTCCATTAATAGAAAAGCTGTTCTCTCTGGAGAATTCTAAAACCAGAGATAAAGTAACGAAGCATTAATTCACACTGGGAACAAGCTGTGCCTTTACGGGGCAGGTCTGTGAAATGTTCAGCATCTTCAATGTCAGTAACCTCAGAAGTACTACAGAAGGCTGCCTGGAGCCCGGGTCCATGTGCACGATCTAACGAAGTAAACAGATCATATCAGAAAGGCCCGGATATAATCACGCTTTAAGACTTCATATTCTTATCCCTACTGTTTCCCCAGCCTTTACAAACTCGGCAAAGAGAAAATAAGATACTGCTCTTGATGGCTTTTAGACAGGCACAATTTGTACAAAAATCAGGATAGAAGAAGGGCCGCTTGTTGCATTTTTTAAAGCAGCAAAACATAATTTTCATCCTGTAAAACATTTATAAAAGCAGATTCATTCCTCAGAAATTGGAAAACATCTACTTTGTTGTTATGAAAAGGGAATCTATTCAGCTTACTGAGTAGTTTTGGCATAAGGCTCGTTATTTTTATTTGCATCACTGTGGCTCCTATCATTCCTGGTAGTAGACTGGAAGCCTACCCTGCTAGGCACTATCCAGAAGCCCTGCCCCAGGAAAGCAAACCAGTGGCAAACAGCTCCGCAAAATGGGTCTCGGCTCACAGCAGAAATCCTTACACAAGCCTCAGCCCCCTTGTAGGCCCTCCCTTCCCTAAAGTCTGAGTAAATAGAGATGCCTTTCAGGATGTCTGGAAGGTCAGTGAGCTGTTCAGGCAGGAGAGCCCTCCCTGTGCTTCACCTCCCTGTGGGCACCCTACAACTCCTCTTTTGTTATGTTATGTTTTGGGTTGTTTTTTGGGTGTTTTTTTTTCACACTTGTGATAGCTGGATGAGAGTACCTGAAGACGCTATAGTAGGCTTTTTTGGTGTTTGTGGTACACATAGCACTATCTAGTAGAAATCCACAATTAACACAATTTCTCAGGCACGAACATTCTTGGTTTCCTCTGGTGCTGCTGCCAGCCTTAATTAAAAGTTCACTTAAACTGAAAAATAATTGAGTAAACCACCAGAGCTCGAAAATTATTAGGGCAATTAATTATTTTGTAGGCTGTAGAAACAGGTTTACTGTTAATTTAAGACTCCTGGTTTGATTGAATTATACAGAATTAACTTTGTTGAATGAAGCCATCACTGGCCACCAAGAGACTGATTCAGTGAAAAGAGCTGAAATTTCTGCTAGCAATGAGGGGTTCAGTGTCACCTGGGATTAGTCTGTTCAAGTGAGTTGAATGGTTGAATGTTCCTAAAAGGTAAATAATGGTGGGAGAACTTCAACTGCAAATTACAGGACCATTTCTGACTTGTTGGAAAAGAGTAACTGCTAGCTTTCTGAGATTATAGGATTAAACCGTATCAGTACTTTAAATGTGACTCATGAGCAGGGGCTTTCTGAAGAGAATTACATAAATTTCCCAAGATCTTTCTGAATAGCAAATTGTTCCAAATAATTTCCTCATCTTTAATAACTATGGGTGAAATCCTGGCCCCACTGAGGTCAACAGAAAAAGTCCGCTTGATTTCAGTGCATTCAGGATTTCACCCCCAGACTGTGGAAAATGTTCAGCTTTTCTGTATTGACTTGGTGAGGAAGGCTCTGCAGTTGATCACGGTATTTTCTACCAACTGGCAATTCACAGTTCTTGGATTTTTATATTTGACTCACTTAGCAATGAACCAGATTCTATTCTCATTTGCACCAGTGTGGATTTACGGTGTATTTTTAGATATCTCTGAGCAAAATCTATCTTCTTGTCAAGACACGTAACCCCAAACACTTCTCGCTGAATTAAAGAAGTAGCATATGGGGAACCGTGCAATTCTGGATTGACCATGTGGAAGTTTAACTTAGCCACACTGCTGTCTTGAGGCAACTACTTGCTTACCTGCACTAAGTTAATTACAATTGACTTCGCTGTAATCATTACAGTTGTAATCAAGAGTAGATAACACATACTGTAATTACCTGTACATCTATAAAAAACCCCAAAACTTGCATACCAAAGAAAGCTAGAAAACCAACGTGGTAAAATCCAATTTAACACAAGCTGCTTTATGAATAAGGAAAGTAAGACAATCTGTTTTCCTACGAGTTTACACCTTTTGTCCCTTGGGCACAAAAAGCACTCAGCTTTCTTCCAGACCTCTTGTCTCACCTCTTCTGGGTGAGAGGTAGATTATGTCTTGAAGAGCTCTGTGCATCAGCTGGCTAGGTTGCCCACAATGTTTGGACGGCTGTCATGTTTTGCCTCTTTCTTCCTCAGTTGGTCACCAGTTTTCACAAAGCACATAGAGGGCATCTCTCCATCCAAAATCGGCTAAAAAATTAATAAGAATTACTATAAAGAGGAAGCAGAGAGCACTGTTGGGTAGGTTCATTTTCTTAGGAAAACTACTAGAAATGAGGTTCCTCCATAGGTGTCCATTTGCATAATTCCCCTGAAGTCACTGTTTAATATCAACAGGAGATCTGACCATATATATTCAAGAATTTCAAATCTCTTCATAAGGGCAGATGAGGACAGTTTCAGATTTTACAAGAGCAAAGGAATAAAACAAACTGCTTCACATATTTTATGACTCAATCCCTGCAACTCAGTCTGTGCTTTGAAGTCCCAGAGCAGGTATAGACTTCTACCTTTGTGCCAGCTCTTATTGTTAAACATTTTTCAGGAGTTATAAGCAGATCTACACCTCCATGTCTTATGACAAGCCCTGTATTGGCTAGCGAACTTCAGCTTCTAGTTGAACTTGTTGAGCTATGCCTAAATGTAGCTGAGATCATGGTATATTCTGCCCATTGGTGGTATAGCTTTGAGGATGGAGATACTCTTGAGCTCCTTCTGTGTTAATAATAATAATAATTATTATTATTATTTGCTTTCTGAGTTTTATTCCTTATTGTTTTCCTATTCACCTGATTCTCATTTGCAACACATTACCAGTTTAAAACTTTAAGCATACATACACAATTTTTTTTCAATACTAAATTGCAGAAAGACCTAGGAATGATGTGATATGCTAATAATATTATTATTTTTAATACTAACTTTAAGTTGACATAAAGTTTTTATTAGTGACCAAATTTTTAACTGCTTGTCTCTACTGAGAGATTGGGGTAGATGAGGAATGGGGAGTGAAGCAATGCAAGAAATACAGCATTATTCATAATATGAAATATACCTCTAGGAAATATTTGCCTTTCAAAAATTGTTGAAAGATTATATTATCTCTTTTTACCTTTCAGCAAAATGATGGTCCAGCACTCAGGCCAGGTATCTGCATTAGAAGTCAGCGCCTCCGCAATTGTTCCCACTTTGTCCCCTGCAGGGTCACTGGGGTTTGATGATTTCACAAATTTAACCCCACTGGTGAAAGAGGAATTGAGGTTCGCCATTCAGAATAAGCGTCAGTGCCACAGGATGTCTTCTACATTGGACACGGTGACAGTTTCTGAAAGGCCAATTGAAACATCAATCATGAAAACAGAGGTATGGCTCTTTGTATAGCATTTCAGTGTGGATGATCAATTCTCTAATCAAGTCTCACCGCAAGTAATTATATCAGCTACAGACAACCTTCTTCACCGTACTTGATCATTTTAAGCATGCTGCTTGGCTTTCTGTTAAGTGCTTCTGGGAAACCTTCTGCTGTTTCTCATTTCCATTGCTGCCTATAGTTGGATATTTTATTTTTGATTATGGACTAAGGACAGTGTTTTACAGTGATTAGAGCAAGTGCTGTGGTGACAAGTAGGCAGGTTTCCCTGCTGAAGTTATCAAAATACAGGTTGTGTACTTACAGTACTTTAAGGATTTTATCTGTTTTCGCGAGAATTTTCTCCCGAAGAGGATGAAAGAAAGAAAAAAAAAAAATCAAAGAAAGTTCCCCTGCTTACTTGTGGCTGAACTTGGAATAAGTTACTGATGAAGTTTTATTTCAGTGAGGACAGTCCAGCAGGACCCACGTGGGCAAGACTAAGAGAGACATGGCCGTGCTCTGTCCACACTAGTTTTTTGCTGTAGGATAGTCTCCATGAAAAACATTTCTCTTATAAAATGAAGAAATAGCTTAAGTTAGGGAAATAGCTACACCTTGGTATAAACTTCCACAGGAAATAATCCAAAGCTTGAAGGAGTGTGTTGACATCCCCTTTTTTGGTGCTGCCTTTAGTTCAGTGCACTCTCGCTGCCTCATTCATGACACATCCTCCTTTCTGCTCCCTGTGCCCCTCTCTCCTCTTCCTCCTTGGGAAATGGAGAAGAGATGAAGGTGTGGGAGGCAGCCTGGGGAGACACTCAGCACATTTTTTGGGCACCATTGATTTAAAGGGAGCCATCACACGCATTACACTGCATCCAAACTCCAGTCGGGTTTTTATTGACAATTCTAATGGAGTTACTACCATTTTACTGTATGGCAAGCAAGGTCAGAATCACAATATTATGTAATTCATGATACGAGCACTGATGATCCTACCTGTGTTGCTTTTAAAAATGCCTAAGTTGTCAAAGTATGGGTCATATATTTACGATATCTCACACACCATGTGTATCTGTTTTTATGGGATAGTTTTCTCCTGAAGAGGATGAAAGGAAAAAGCGAAGACGGGAAAGGAACAAAATTGCTGCTGCAAAGTGCCGAAACAAAAAGAAGGAAAAAACAGAATGTTTGCAGAAAGTAAGTGACTGGCTTGAATTATCTGTCATCCTGTCAGAATCCAGCCAGATAGCATGGGGTGCTGTCATAGTAAGAAATATAGAAAGATGTCACCCCACACTCTGTAAACCCTTCAAAACACTAGTCTTAAAAAAAAACCCAACTAACCAAAAAAAACCCCACAAAAACATGAACATGCTATGTATTAAAACCAAACCTGGTTAAAACTGGAATAAAATGAAAGTGTGGTAGGAATGAAGAGAGATTAATGTTTCAGTGACCATCTTATCTATTAGGATAATATTAATTTGAATGTGTACACTGAATACGAAAAGAAGGAAAAGTAATTTCTGACTTCTTTATGAAATGAGTGGTATAGGAGCCTACCCCTGAATTCCCCATCTTAAGACTCTGTCTTCACCTGCTCTGCCATGATATACAACAATATTACAGCAGTGTCAGGCCTATTGTTTTTCCTGTATCTGGGGGTAGGGGAAAAAAGCTATGTTGTTAGCTTAACATGGGTTTACAGATATGTGACGTGATGTTCCAGGGAGTTAATAAGAAGTGTAAATAATTTGGGGTCAATTTTTTGATCCAAAAAATTCAGAATAACATGCAGAAGATAGCAAATGCTTTGAATACCTGTCATTGTAAGTGAATTCAAGGCTGAATTTGGCTTTTCAACTCCTGATACACTTCTGTAAAGGCCACAGAAGTTAACTGTCACCCTGGTTTTTAGACTGTTTTTGACTGGGGGGTGAATAGTTTCATCATTATAGGACACAAAGGACATGAAATTTTTTCACCGCTAGCCATATGCTTTCCCACCAATAAAAGACTGCAACTGTTAGATAAACATAGCAAGTAAGTATTTGAACTACTCAGTCTAATAGTCGTGTCTGTCCTTTGTGACTAGGAATCAGAAAAGCTGGAAACTATCAATGCAGAATTAAAAGCCCAGATCGAAGAGCTAAAGAACGAAAAGCAACATTTGATATACATGCTAAACCTTCACAGGCCCACTTGTATAGTTCGGGCACAAAATGGAAGGACACCTGAAGATGAAAGGAATCTTTTTATTCAGCAGATCAAAGAAGGCACATTACAAGGCTAAGTGATACGACAAAAATGGAAATATTCATAGTGTTTTTAACAACTACCAGAATCCATGGAGGATCTGACATAATGTGTGGGATTCTATTAGTCAAGAGCCTTTAGGAAGGGCAGATTGCTCTCTTGAGTGGAAAGAATCATTTTGGCTTGACAGCAATTCTTCCCCTTGGAAGATCTGATCTCAATCAAAGTGAAGAGCCTTCTGCCTCAAATATAGGTTTTGCACCTGTCATACTTGCTGTTCCTAGGAGCTACAGACAACAGCTTCAGAAGTTTTAGCTCTCTGCTAGTATACAGTATCTGCACTCACAATGTTTGTGCTAGAACACTATGACTTCCAGTGATGCACATGGTACAGACAGCTGTGCTGGATGGACACTACTTTTCTGAAAGCAGGCGCAGAGTATTTTTAAAGTTTCAAAGTTTCCAGAAGGATAGTTTCTGGCAGAATATACTGGTATGTAATTTTGCATTCTAACCTGATGCGCGCACACAAAAACACCCAAAAAGCCTTTAGTTCCAACTCAGCTTTGTCTTTTTTTTTTTCACAACACTTATGTGGTTTTTTTCTATGACTCATCTCAGAGACTGAATTTGAAGAACCTAGCAGGTGTGACAAAGAAACATTTCTTGCAAAATGTACATGTAGCTAAGTTTATATTTAAAGTGTTGGAACCCCACCCACTATCCTTTGGGGAGTACAATTTTTCCTTGAATTGCTGAAGAGCAACTTGTACCACCACTGAGTGCGTTGGACCTGCTGGAAAGAAGAAACTAGCTCTGGAGAGATATCAGTACAGGTTTTGCCTGAGCAAAGAACTGCAGGAAATGAATCCCAGGCTCATGAATCATGAAAAGATTCATTTAAAAAAAAATCATCTGGGATCTAATTCTACAAGCCTTAATTCATGTTATTAACCTCACTCACAGAAGAGGTTCCATGGACTTCAGTGGGTCTGCTTGTGCAGATGGCTCTTATAGGTGTAAGAGCTTGAAAAATCTTTTTCTGTCCTGGTCAGGATTACTTCCTTTTGCCAGGTGATTCAGGGGAAAAAATGATTGCAGCTACTTTTATTTTACATTTGAGTGGCAACTACAGTCAATCAAAAGTGTTACTTAGAACCTAAAGGAGGCAAGAGTTTTGATGTAGGGAAGAATGGGTTTTAATTTTTATTAAATACTAACCTTAGATGTTTTTGAACTGGTAGAAGAGCTGCTGGACAAAACAGTTGGAGCTATGAGTGTTTAAATTCTGATGTTTCTGTGAAATTCTCAGATTGTTTAATCCTATAAAATATATCCTTACAATTTTTTGTAAAAGGAAATATTATCCTTATTTATCACTAATATCATAATGAGTAGAGTTAATAAATACTGCGAGCAAGATAAAACTGAAAACACAAGTGTTGCGCTGTCTTTTTACTTTTATCTCTTGGTGTTTAATATTATATATTCCTAAACTTCAACAGTTCTTTCTGAGACACCACTATGGAAAACAGTTATCATTCATCTTTTCCACAGATGAGGCACTGAGTATCTTGAATGACTGGGTGTAGATTTTACACCTTCCAAAATTCTGTGCCTCCATCAATGGTGTCTAGCTGTTCAAAGTCACAATGTAAACAAAGCAGACAATAAGAATGGAGCTTACGGTACATAATATTTTACACCAGTTACGCAGTGTTGAAATTGTGGTTTTGTTCTAAAGGCTATAAACTTAAAGATACCTCAGCCATAAGCTTATTACCCTGCAATTCCCGGATGAGTCTATCAGATATCATACCTGATCCTTATATGATTGTTATATTCTGCAACAGAACTTCTTATTACATTTTCCTAAGATGTGGATATATTGTAATGTCCTCTATCACACTTTAAAGACAAATGCTTCATGTATCTGGAAAGTGAATGTATTACAAAGATGGCAAACTGGGTCTGATTCTGTCTTTAGAATCCATTCTCTTTCTTTATGCTGGAAGGAGCTTCCATTGACTTGAGTGAGAGTTTTACTCTAGTCCTGTAGGCAGAGTTGAGAGCCTCTGCTGCATCTTCTCTGGCCTAGAGGGCAAGTTCCATGGAGAATTGGGCCAGCTGGTTATCAGACAACAGATATACATGAAGTCAAGTAATGTTTGTTGGTATTTGACTTCTGTAATGTGGAAATAAAAAACCAAGGCATCATCCCAGTATCATACACCTTGGCTTTGCCTTTTGTGCATCAAATACCAGCATACAAAGCTATTTGCCTCCTCTGCTGTTATAAAAATGTTACCACAAAGACTAGAACATAATGACAGAATTCATGTGTCTCCCTTAGGGAATTTGTATGGTTGCTTTTAACCATATCACTGGTGACGCAGGCGTCATGCTTTTGTTTCTTGGTGTTATTTGCTTAGCATGCCCAATGTTAATATGGTACCACTACTATTGTCAGGAGATAATCTATTTTTATTTCTTTATATGTGCAGTCATCATAGCTGCTTTCTACTGCTCTTGTATGTGGATGTGCATGCGTGCTTCTGCGCGCAGCTCTAGAAATGATAGTACTCAAGTTCATTTGACTGTGCCCAGGAAAAGAGTGTTTAAACAATTAGATAGGATCAGTATGTTGCATGAGTTTTCTGAAAGTATACTTTATTCAGGAAAACCCTTCAAATGCATTACAAGCAGTTTGTTTTCTATTCTCAAGTTTGTTTTGATACTTTAATAAAAAAGAATTAATATATATTTATTCATGTGTCATTTAATTAATTCTAAATTTCAAAATCCATTTTCTTAAACCAACACTGAGATATTAAAAAGCAAACACATTTTATAGGTTTGCAACAATAAACATTTTATAAGGTGAAATTCATCCTATTCACTGCTTGTCAAGTTATAAACAAAGTTTTGTCATTACAAGGTTTCGATCATGAATTCCAGGTTAATTTCTTATTTGTGGCCTAGAGTTTAGATTAAAGGACTGGAAGTCAGAATCCCTGAAGCTTTCTTAACATTCCAACCAACCATCTGATAGTTATTTCAGCTTTCTGGTTACCTAATGGACTTAATGCTTTTGCTGCTGTGAATAACAGAATCACAGAATTGTTGAGGCTGGAAAAGACCTCTGAGGTCATCAAGTCCAGCCTATGACCCAACACCACCACATCAGCCAGACCAGGGCACTAAGTGCCACATCCAGCCTCTCCTTAAACACCTCCAGGGATGGTGAATCCACCACTTCCCTGGGCAGGAAAGCTTTAATATTTGTAGATTGATTTTTAAGGTTACATGGGAGATATTAAAGAAGTATAGCATGATCAGGACTTTGTTTTGGTTTTTTTTGCTCTGTGTGTTGGGATGTGTGTCTATGTGGAGAAGCATGAAGAAAGATGAACAAAATGTTCTGTCCTGCCTTTCCAAAACTAAGTATCTACGCCCAGAAGGAAGTCCCTGTGGTTTGACAGCCAGCAATGTGGACAAAAACTTCCGGCTTCAGTTCTTTGGAGGCAGTCATAACTTGTAATAGAGGGCAGATAGAAGGCCAGGAGCTTCAGAGACCAGGAAATCCATTGAACTATTGCAAAATCTAGTTAAAAATATCAGCTGGGAGGAAGATCTAGGCTACTATGAGCTTGGCAATACTGAATGCTTGCTTTCCTTATTGGTACATCCATTTATAGATGTGCAGTCCCAATACATATAGTCACTCTTTCACACACTCTCCTATAGCTGCAGTCAAACTTTAATGTGAATGCTCAATTCACTTCTAATTTGGTAAATTTATAAATCATCTTCCTGGCCTGTTTGAGAAAACCTGATCAACAAAATTAGGTCTATGCATTCCTGAAGAGATATTTTATAATATTTGCTTTAAATAGTAAAAACCATGAAACCACCATTGGTCTCTGTGACCTATTACTACTAGTATAACTGATACTCCTTGAATAAAATAATACCTTGTATCTTCTCCTTAGGTCCTGTTTTAGATGCTAAATCTGTGTGTGTACAGGCCCGTGCAGACCTTAGAGCATGCCAGGCTTTACACTGTACATTAATAAGGAAAATAATCTACTTTTTTTGTAGCTCTTCTCTTGATGTAAATCAATAAATAGCAATATTGAAAGTAGGTAGAGCCAATGATTTATGCTAGGCTGAAAGTGTTTAATGAAACTGAATGGTAACAAGTTTAAAGTTACAATAACTTTTCTTCCTGGGCCCATTACAATTTGAAGTTATTAATTAAGGGGATGGTTTTAAAAATCGCTCATTCTTAGTTGTGTAGGAGAAGCCGGATGATGGTGGCCAATGAAAATAAAATAGTACAATTGGGTTTTAGTAACAAAAGAGTTTTGAAAATGAAATCTACTTAATCTTCAAAAATTTCGAAATCCAGAATGACAACTGAATCTCACATTTCTTCCCAACTCCTTCCTCCTTTCAGCAGAATACTGGACTGAGTACAAGTCTCATTCATGCTGGCCTTTGCCATGTTTCTATGTTTGCCCGGTGCCCCCAACTGGAGACCCTGAGAATCACATGATTAAAATGTGATTAAAATGCATTTAGTAACATTCTTCATTAGTTCGTAATGATGCCAGTATAATTCTTTCATAACAGGCATAATTCCTTTTTAAAGTGTAGATGAGATAAAGAGTGACAGTATGTTTTAAAAATCTCGTTACTTAATTTCCACTTAATTTCCACAGTGGACACTCTGAGTCAGAACTGCTGACTTCAGTGATAAAAATAGCTATTTACTAATTTTCAGTGCTATCAGATCTTCAAAGCCGTTACAGTTAAAAGAGAATGCACTGGAGTCTATTTTTGATACACCATCAGTTCTGGCTGCATATCTATACTATTGCTGACAGTGATGCATGAACTGAAAAAAACCCCCCAATCTTACTGATTTCCATACCCCAAGCTAAGTGTACTAGAACTGGCACTCAGAAAAATTATTAAACCTGTGAAATGAATAAACAGAAAATGGAAGCAAACTAAGAGTTGAAGCTGGAATCCGTTTTTTGTCTGGTTTTGAGAATTTAGCAACATCTTATATATATACTCCAAGAAAGTAGTTGGTATGCCACCGTGCCCACTTAGACAGTTGGGTATGCCCACACAGCAAATAGTAGTGCAGCACAGCAATATTTTTATATAAGCTAGCTTAGTACTGGGAGCGTCCCAGTGATGACAGCAAGAAACTCAGCCCAGGCTAGTTGATGCGACTGAGAGGATGATCTCTCCGTGCAGCCAGAGGACAGACTGCTTCAGGCATCTGAGGGAGCTCACATAAAGCCAGCTCGGGTATCGTTCCACTCCTCAGGTTAGCATGTGTCACGTAGCTGCCTGTTGAGTAGCTGCCTGCATTCCAAACTAAACAGGTCCACCAATTCAGACCAAAGGTCCACCGAGCCCAGTTTTCTTTCTACAGCCGTGATCAAAAGCAGCTGTCCAAGGGAGAATAAGAACAGGGCAAGTAATGCTTCCTC